CCTGCTTCCCTATTTATAATGGTCTGGCCCTCTAGCAACTTCAGCATGAAATTATAGCTAATTTGCCTACAAACGTCAGGTGGTCATAATAATCTGGCCACTCAGTGTATATACTATAACATATATAATTATATATAATGTATATGTGTTCTTTTTGTTTTTAAAATAAAAGCTATTCCTGCTCCCTCTCTCTTCCTTTTCTCCTTTACCGCTAATTAACCTAATTTTTTGTACCAATCTGTTCATCATAATTTTTAGCACTATGTATTTAGTAGGTACATATTTCACTCAAGTGTGCAAATTAATTGGCTCATTTTTTTCTAATTAGATAAAATTTTTTTAAATGAGATTTATTCTCTTTTTTAAAAACAAATAATTTTAGCCTGGCCAATGTGGTTCAGTGGTTGAGCATCGACATATGAACCAGGAGGTAATGGTTTGATTCCCAGTCAGGGCATATGTCTGGGTTGCGGGCTTGATCCCCAGTGTGGGACGTGCAGGACGTAGCCGATCAATGATTCTTTCTCATCATTGATGTTTCTACCTCTCTCTCCCTCTCCCTTTCTCTCTGAAATCAATAAAAACGTATTTAAAAAAATATATGTGTGTGTATACACACACACACACACACACACACACACACACACACACATTCCCCACTCTGTTTCAGCTAGCTTGCAGCCAGTAATCCTCAGCACCTTTTGCACATTGTTTACTTTCTCATAAAAGGAGGACCTTAGCCAAAAAACATATATTCATAACCCATAGACACAGACAACAGTGCGGTAATGGCTAGAGGGAAGTGGGGGCTGGGGCTGGGGCTGGGACTGGGACTGGGGGCTGGGGCTGGGGCTGGGACCTGGTGTGAATGACATGGCTCTCATGGTTGAAGTTCTAAAATGCAGACAGCGAGGACGAGGAAGTGGCCTCACGGGTGCTGTGCGCAGCCGGGCTGGGCGAGGCTATAGGATCCGATTCTAGACAGACCTGCCATGGCTCTCATTGCTTCCTGACCCCCCACACCAGGGTTCCCACCGCCCTGTCGGCCTTTATATTCGAGGGGGACATGCCGGCGAGCGCACTTCTCTTCCTGGATTTCCAGCCCACGTCCGGGACCGGGACGGAGCCGTAAACTTGGGCAGCTAAGTCAGGCCCTCCCTTGGCTCTGCCTTGCATTGAACTCAGAGTGCTCGGTCCCGGGGGAGCCACGTCGGAAGCAGAGAGATGAACCCTGGCTCTCCCTCGTGGCTCCTGGTCACCGAAGGCGTCAGCCCCAGCAGGCCCCAGGGCCGGGGCCTCGGCTCCTTCAGGCCCCGGATGCCACCTGCCACAGGCGAGCTCGCGTGGACCCACTGGCCTTTCTGTTCAAATGGTGATTTTTTTCTAGAAGGCTTGTATGACTTAGAAATACAAAAGACAAACCCTGGAATGGTTGTGGATTGTAACACATTTTTCCAGTTGTTTGAGCATTACGCCCTCTATGACATCAAAAACCAACAGCCACAGTTACTTTCTGTACCAACCAGGATGAAATTGAGACAGAGGGCCCCGGTCTGTGGGCCGCGCGGTCCCTGTGTCGCCGACACCTGCCTCCCCCCACCCCCCACCCCGCTGTCCCACAGGTGAACCTGGTCTCTGAGCACATCTGGTGCGAGGACTTCCTTGTGCGGAGCTTCTACCTGAAGAACCTGCAGACCAACGAGACACGCACGGTGACCCAGTTCCACTTCCTGAGCTGGTATGACCAGGGCGTGCCGTCCTCCACGCGGTCCCTCCTGGACTTCCGCAGGTAGGGCCCGGGGCCCCGCGGGGTAGCGCGCT